TGGGGGGGGGGGGGGCAATGTGACGCTCAGATAATTGTGGAGCGCGTGTTGTTAATTTTATCATCACAGCCCTCAAGCAATGTAGATGGGACCCTGGGCGGTCCAGCATGATATGATGACTCTGGTGACAAAGGCTGCTTCGCGGCCTTCTCGATTCGGGTCAAACACGACGCAGCCTTTACAGCTTCGCGTACTCTTCCAAAATGCAGAAGCAAGACGATGAGTCCATACTTGGGCCGCCCGGAAAACAAGATGCAGAGAGACAGGCTTTCCTCCGCGAGGAAGAGAGGCCCGCAGATGTGGAGAAGCAGCTTAGAGCGGCACCGATTGCTAGCACCTCTAGCACAGCGATATTGCTGTCCATGTATTTCCTCATGAATATCGGCCTTACATTCTACAACAAAGCGGTGCTCGGCTCGGTCAGTTCCCTGGTCCAGATTTGACGCAAGCATTGATAAGTCGTACAGTTTGCCTTTCCATGGATCTTAACGGCAGTCCATACTGGCTCCGCGTCGATGGGAAGCGGCATTTTACTCCTTACAGGCCACTTTCAGTTGACGAAGCTATCCTCCCGTGACCACCTTGTCCTCTTCATGTTTTCCCTTCTCTTTACTGTCAACATTGCAATGTCCAACGTCTCATTGTAAGCTCTATGGTCAGACGTGAAGGGGTTTAACTGATCTTGACCAGGGCCATGGTATCTGTTCCTTTCCACCAGATCATGCGCGCGACATGTCCGATCTTCACGATCTTGATATATCGCGTTTTCTTCATGCGCAAGTACGCTACTGCCACATATCTATCTCTCATTCCAATCATTATGGGCGTCGGGCTTGCGACGTACGGCGACTACTATTTTACGACTGTAGGGTTCGTCCTGACCGTCATTGGGGTTGTGCTCGCTTCGATCAAGACAGTGGTGACCAACAGGCTGCTGACAGGTCGCCTGCACTTGGGCCCGCTCGAAGTGCTGCTGAGAATGGGTCCTCTTGCAGCCGTCCAATCTCTGCTCTATTCGGCGCTCATTGGCGAATTCTCCGAGTTCATGGCCTACGTTGACGCTGGCCATCTTGACCGACAGCGCATGTTGGCTGTCGCTGGCAACGGCGCTCTGGCATTTGCACTCAACGTTGCGTCATTTCAAACAAACAAGCAGGCAGGAGCTCTTAGTATGACCATTTGTGCGAACCTAAAACAATGCCTCACTGTTGTATTAGGCGCATTTCTGTGGGGTGAGTACTTCCAATGATGAACGGACCGAGCTAACCATCTTCATAGATCTACGGATGAGCGTAGCAAACGAGGCTGGTATTCTTCTGGCCTTGGTTGGGGCTGCCTGGTACAGTGTGGTGGAGCTGCGAAATAAGAGGAAGTCAGCACTGGGCGCCTAGTTTCTTTTTACAAGTTATGGCTGATACATTCTGGCTGGGCAAAGTGGAGCTGGGCCGGAATCCTAGTAATATTAGCGTGGCATGCAGACGGGCGGTGCCGAGAGCCGTCCACCCATCTTGGCTCCTTGTTGTATTGACGTTTTGGAAGCAGCACTCAATCTTTACTCCAATACACTCCATCTTTACCATGAGACGTCCTAGACTGCTCCATATTGCTGCGGCTTTCGCCCTGGTGGCGATCGTCTCCATATTTTCGCAACATCCAAAAGCAGTCTCCTTGTATCGCAACCCAGCCACTGGAGGGACGTCTTACCTTCACCTTCTCGTCACCGCGACCAGCAGTGATTTAAACCTCTGTCGCCTTCTTCTCTCAGCCGCAGTCCTCCAATACCCCCCGCCTGTGTTGATCGATTGGGAAGGCGAAAACGAATTCAATGCGGCTGAAACGCATCTTGCTAAAATCCACGGCCCATTGCGATACCTCGAATCGCTCCCAGAGTCTCAAAATGATGACCTGGTACTGATAGTCGATGGCTTCGACGTTCTGTTCCAAGTCGGTCCCGATGTTATGCTCCGGCGGTACTTTGCAGAAGTAGGCGCGTCTAATGCACGACTTGCATCGCAATATCGGGGATTTGACGTGCACAACAACATCTTATTCGGCCCTGACAAGATGTGTTTCCCGCTAGACTTCAGTCAACCTAGATGCTGGGCAGTTCCCGAGTCTCCGCTCTCGCGTCATGCCTTCGGACCCGATACCGATGTCGATATGCAACGCGCTCGCCCTCGCTGGCTCAACTCTGGAACTATCATGGGGCCTCTCAAAGATCTGCGGACGCTGTTTCAAGCAACGCGAAACAAGATTGACCAGACGTTCGACCTCGCGAATCCGCAGCACAACTCCGACCAGATGTACTTGGCAGACGTCTGGGCCGACCAAGAATATGCGCGTGTGTTCTCTCGCGATGGAGTCGTGCATGATCCTATGCCTCAGATGGCGACTGATGTGGAGAGGGCGTTGCCAGTTCTCGAGGAGGGACAACAGACGGATTTCCACGTCACTCTCGACTACAGTTCCAGCCTGTTCCAGACGACTGCTGGGTACTACGACCATCTCACTTGGACAAGTTTCAATCGCTCTTCGACACAAGCCTCTCAAAAGAGCTCAGAAGCGTGGAAACTTGATCTCCCCGAGGATTTATCGCATTCTCCGAATCCATTCGCAGCCATTGGAGACGAAAACACAACTTGGAGCGGGGTGTCCCTTGGTGTCAATACCATCACCTCCAACGTGTTTCCGGTGCTGCACTTCACTGGCGATAAGAGCTACCGCGACCGATGGTGGAAACGCATGTGGTACTTTCCCAAAGCCAAAGACCTCCTCAAGGGCTCAGTCAGCTTATCCATTGAGGAGATTGGAAATGAACCCATTGGTGGCATCAGCTGGAGAAAGCATGGTTTCCTGGAAAGCGCCGGTCGAGATCTAAGTGGCGCTCGAAGTGATCAAGGAGAGCGGCTGTCATGGGATGGCCTTTGCAAGGAGCATGAAAATGCCATGTATAGTGGCGTCGCCCCCAGCAATTGACACGCCACACCCTTTAGGCCGCCCCGGTCTCTTCACTTGGCGCGCACCCTTGGCAGCTCTCCACGGGTAGAACGGCTCCTCGTGGGATGGGAAGATTACAACAAGCCACTTCTGAGATCATTCTTCGCTCAGAATGGACTGCCTTATCAGTGAAGGTGTATCCTGCTGCGCGCTGACGTCCCAGCCTCGTTGCGGATGGAAATACATCTGCGACATCAATCATGCAGAGCGTCTCTAGTCCAGGCCGGCGACGATGGGTCGTGATCGCAGTAGTTGCTGTTCTTCTCCTCTTCCTCCTCTTTTCAAACGAAGCGGGTTCAAGAGGCAGTAAGAGGATCATTGCGAGTCTGAAATCCTCTTTCCATGTTGAGGTGCCTCCTGGCTATCTGCACGTACTCATTCCTGCAGACCACAAAGACGTCAACCTTTGCAAAACGGTAGTCAGTGCCGCCGTAACAGACTTCTCAACACCGACTCTTATCAATTGGGGCGAGTCCTTTAAGAATCCGAAACTCGTTGGCAATGGGTCTCATTTGGCCAAAATCAGCGGTGTGCTTGCATATTTGCAGAAGCTCGGCCGGGAGCGTGACGATGATCTCGTCCTCATTGTAGACGGCTACGATGTTTGGTTCCAGCTCCGACCGAGCATGCTCATCGCACGATATTATGCCATCAACGAGGCCGCCAATGCCCGCATACGGAAAGCTATGGGCTCGCGAGCGATGGATGCCGAGAAGATTGAACAAACAATTGTGTTCTCGGCGCAGAAGCGGTGCTGGCCATGGAAAGCAGATGATCCTGCCTGCTATGCAATACCCGAGTGGTCGCTCCCTGCCGATGCATACGGGCCCGAAACAGACGTCGATATAGGATTCAAGAAGAACCCATACGTAAAGTTTCGACAGCGCTATCTTAATTCTGGAAACGTAATGGGCCGTGTGGGGTCCATGCGAACATTGTACCAGCGGGCCATGCACAAGGCCGAGAAGGATGCAAATTTTGGAAGCGATCAAAAGATACTGAGCGAGATATTCGGTGATCAGGAGTTCCAACGAGAGGTGATGCGGGAACGGCACCAATCATCCTGGCAACGCTTTTCGGGCTGGGCAACTGGAAAGAGAAGCATCTTGGATTCACATTCTACTCGCCACCCGCGAGAGCGCCGCAAGGGACAGCCGGACGAATTTGGTATTGGCTTGGACTACGCGAGTCTGATAGGGCATCCGACCGTATTCTGCGAAGAGGATTCGGAGTGGCTCAGGCACAGTGACGCTGAACACATCACCAAGGCGTCGGCGGACCGCGGTGTAGATCCCCCGAGGATTAAGGAATTAGCTACCGACGTGAGCGAGTCGCAGCCACCTTTCCTGACAATGGTGCCCACGGGCCAGCACGCAGAGGATCAGATGTGGCGAGAGGTGCCCCTCTACAGCAACGTGTGGACGAGCGTGGTGCCGGGGCTCATCCATCACAATGCCCATCGCGACGGACTGAAGAAGCTTCGAAAGACGGCATGGGATCGGATGTGGTATTTCGAGGGCTTGCGATGGTTGTACAACTCAACCGTGGCCGGTCCATCCGGTCCTGTTGCGGTGGTGGACGATGCGAGCGGGAAAAGGCAGGCGTGGTGGAGTCCTACAAGGAACAAGGGTGGCGCGGAGTCTGACAAGGGGAAATGGTTATCGTGGGCGCATCTCTGTGGGGAGTATGAGGGAGAGCTGTTTAGAGACGGCGGGGAGTGAGTGGTTGATGTCAATATTCTTTTGCTGTGCGAGCACACTTTGTGCCTCGGGCGAGAGGCGACTGGGTTCTGCTGAGTGCGACTCATTCAATCTGTAGATGCAAGCTTCGCATTCAGAGGCAACATGCAATTACGATACAACGACTAACTGCTGGCTTGAGTGCTTGGCGTTGGTCGAAGTGAGGGGCAGGCGCGACCCAACCCAGCCACCACCAACCATAATTCAACACCTCAGGCACCAAACGACATCAAAAAGATTACAAAGTCCAAAAAAAAATCTTTCGGGCCTGACCGGGATTCGAACCCGGGGCCTGTCACATTATAGAGATGCAAAGCATCCAGGCGTGCGATACCCGAAGCGACAATCATACCACTAGACCATCAGGCCGGTCTGAATTTACAAAAATTTTGGTGAAGAAAATATATATAGTACACAAGTTGAGGAGAGCAGTCATGACGCTAAATGCATGGTAATGAGCTACGATCGGCCCACTTTGCACTGTGCGCATCCTGGTTCGCGGCGAGCCTTACCGCTTTGGGCCCAGGTTGCGAACGAGGTCGACGGCGCTGTCAACAGCTCTACGTGACAGTTGTTGGCCTGTCGCATCTCCAGTTTTATCTGCCAACAGCTTTGCACACGTTTACGTCTGTAATTGCTTCCACGGCCTCACGCTTGTTTGCAAACCAGAGCCACAGTGTGAGTTTGTGGTCCCTAGCTTATGCATCGGCTCCGAATGCCGCACCAGAGCGGAGAGCCGGACGGTGCGGTTCAGGCACGAGATGCACCGGCACCGGGATGCGACATGGCCTCATCCAAAGCAGCCAAAGTGTCGTCAGATGGGGAAATGTGAGCCAATTGCGCGCGCGCTCAACACTTTCCGCCACACCGACTTATCGCCAGCAGCAACTGCACGCGCGAGTCGGCCGTTGCCCGCGTCGCCGTCGACGCAGCGGGAGGCCAAACGCTGGTCCATCTGCCTCCTTCTGCCAGACAGTCAATTGCCTCAGGAGAGTATTAAAAGTGCGGGGAAATGGGCTGGTGTTTGTCAAGTGGGCCGCTGCGATTCGCTCTCGGGAGTGCCCGTAGGCCGCAAGCAGGAAGGCGCATCTGTTGAGGGAGGGGGTCCAAGCTCCCCGCCTCCTCATGCTTTGTGCGTGGTTGAATGCCACCGTCGACACAGTTGCGACGTCTTGTGAAGGGCATCCTGAACAGCGCTTATGAAGCGACAGCGGCGCATGCTGACCGCCTTCCGCCGACAAGGCTCGATAAATCGGACCTCCATCCGCCGTGCTTCCACCCTTCATTACTCCGGACTATCTCACGTAAATACCCTCCGGCCTACTCAACACTGATTAACCCCGATCTCGTCCCAACGCTCGAGAAACGGCCCGCACGCTTCCGCCTGCCATCTGCATTTAACCCTCATACTAATCGCTGATCTCCTCGTTTTGGCCCTTCTTCGCTCGCCTGATATCTTGCCCTCACATCGTTGCTCATTCTCATCTTTGACCATGTCGTCGCGAGTCTCTTCCCGCGCCCTCAAGGCCCTTGCTGCCGGCAGCAAGCAGACCCAGACCCGTGGCCTCCATATGACGGGCCCGGCCACCTTTTCGTCCCTTCTCACCTCAGAGCGTCCTGCATTGAACCTCCCCGGCGATGTCGCTGGGCTTCGCGCCGAGTGCCAGAAGCTCAAACTCCCCACCGTGGGCACCAAGGCTGAGGTATGCATGCACCCCCCTGATCGCACCGGGAGCAACCCACTGACATGATTCAATTCACAGCTCGTCGAGCGCCTGTCCGCCCATGACACTACCCACTCCCGCTCATTCAGCACCGCAATCCAAGACTCAAAACGGCCCGTTCCCGAGCCCGCCAGCGTTTCCCTCCCAGTCCGACACTTCAATACGAGCCGCAGTCTGAAGAGCGTGGGCGACTCGTCCACAATCGACTTCGCCTACCTCCCCGACTTCGACCCGGATACCGCGAGCTCCCCCATCATGCGCGTGCCCATCCTTCCCGAGACGGTGACGTCGGAATCCACCCGGGCCTCACTGGCCGAGCAGGTCGAAGAAGCTGTAAAGCCCACTTCCATCCGCCAGGCAAATTACATCAAGCTGACATCAAACAGGTGATGCTCCCCACCATCATGACCGTCTCGGCCGACGGCACCCACATCCACGCTCCCTCGGCCATGTCGGACGTCTCGGACAACAACGCAATCGACTTCCAGGGCATGGCTGCGCGCGTCGCACAGACCCTGGGCAAGACGACCGAGGAGAAGGCCGGCATGGTCAAGGAGGTTTGGGGCGGCTTCATGGACGACGTCTTTGGTCCCAAGGGCCACGGTTCCGCTCCCACTGCTTGAGCCTGGTCCGACTTGCAGAGTCACTTGGTAAGCGTATGAGCAGCGCGAAGGCATCCATGCCGTTCTGGCGAATCTACACAGCATGTTTTATCATCAGATAGAAGATGTTCTCTTTTTTTTGCGGTTGGCGGTAGCGGCGTGCTTCTTTTGGTTGGCGTGTTTGGCAGATCCATCAAGCTTGAAGTGCTCGAGCTCATGCGATATGAAATTCTATGCGGACGGCTTTGCCTCCTTTTCTTCTCGTGCACAAAACTGTCTTCATTCAACTTTTTGGTTTTTGTTCCTTGTCTTGCAGTAGTCGTCAACGGCCTGTGCGCGTCGTCCCATGGTTTGTCCCCGCCTCGGCCCGAAGCGTCGATTGCCCGGAGCGCCAAATATGGAGCGCCATGCTTCGGACCACTGAGGGCTGTTCTAGGACTGATGGGGATTTGAAAAGCTAGTGACAACAAAAGGATGCCGAGTATCGGCTTTGCGCACGGAAACGCGGTGGGAGCGACTTGGCGAAGCTCCGAGAAACGCACTGCGACATACGCGAGGAAGGCGAGAGGCCACCGCATCGCGCGCTGAAGCTCTTTCCACTTGTGCTGCTGATGCGTGTTTTTCTTGGTTCGGGGTCTTGTGTTGGCTTCAGTCCGCTGTACCGTGCAAGGGCCAAGGCGCGAGTGCGGCATGTGAGCTTCGGTATTCGAGTTTCGCACCGAATAATCTCATGCAACTGGTACGCTTTTTGATAGGTTTTGCAAGTGCTCCTTGGAAATATGGTTTACGAGGAAGCTAAATTTCTGTTCTCATGACCGTAATTCACGGGTTATGTCAAGTACATAAAGACATGGTTGCCTCCTTTCTATGACGCTTCTACATAGCTGAATGCATCATACTTGAGGTGCATCATAACAGAGTTCGTAGACGGAAATCGGCGACAAAATATCCCAAAGTATGATGAAGAGGAAATTTGGAAAATATCATCAGGATATACGTTAACTAGGCTTCTTGTCTTACTCATTCTTGCATAACGTTAGTCTAAAATCTTTTCAATGAACATACTCCAAGACTGATCCAGTGCATACTCTGGTTTATCTGTGCCTTCACATTTCCCAAGCGTGGAAAGGGCATTGCCCAGATCCTCCCAGATTTTCCATGATCTTGCAGATCCACGTTTGAATTACGCAATCTCATGCATTGCAATGACCTGGTGTCTTTTGAAAATTATTCCCATTACTTTGACATCAAAAGAAATCCGTACAAGATGATGCATGAATGAGTCGTAGTCCGGTTTTTCGTCAAAAGCAATATTACCTGGGGCATAGCCATCACGACATTTTTAATCCCTTTCTAGAGTCGCGCTCATACAATGTTTGACTAATCTATTGTCTACGTCTTCGCCATTGTGGCATTTGCATGAGTGAGTAGCTGACTGCCGACAACACCACCCGCATAATTGTCAGCCGCACTGCGTCTATTTCTGCATGCGACATGTTGGAGATGATTTTCAAACGCAGTATGCTACAACGGCTGAAGAACGTACGACCATAACATGACCCCTTTGTCGCAATTGACTTCGCGGGCTTGCGTTCTGTCATTAGACCTACATGGGCTAGTTTTTGGCCCACATCGCAGACCGCAATAGAACATCTCTACTAGTACAATATTGTTCGCGGGGCATGTCTATGTGGAATGCATCATTTTCTGCGCTGCGCTGTGCTTCTAGGACATGAAAATGCGGATTTGGCATTTTGCTCCGCTTTTATCATGAGTTTTGTGTTTTTGTTTTTATTTTACAAATGGAAGGGCTGCGTGCGCAGGAAGAGAGCGAGGGAGTTGCTGAGTGGTGCTTATATGTTGAGGGCGCACGGAGCAGGTGGTCCAGCAAACGGCTCCATCAGACAGGCGAACGAAGAGGAAGTAAGAAGCAATTCAAGAGATGTAAGGACGATCGTGATTAGGCTCTGGTGTACAACGGTTAGAAAACTGGATAACGCTCATGTGCCGTGACTTTCAGATCGGGCTAGATACTGGGGACATTCTGCGAGAGTCAAGCAGACAGGTATTTATTGTTGTTGAGGCTTCCGGCATGTCGAGCATGGCGCACACCCGCACAATTACAGGGCGATTGGAGGATCCTGGTGTGGCCTCGATGATCTCATCTACCATTTGGCGATCGCTAGCATTCACAATGTTATTGACAAAGCAGGAAGCGCGCGACGAAAGCTATGGCTTATATAAGCCCTAGGAATACTATTTTACTCAAAAATAACAACGCCGAAGCATACACAAGGGGAATCCTACACAAGCCTGACCCAAACACACAAAAGACCGATACAAAGACATCTGATGATCAAGCAGCGACGGCAGGTTTCTCACCATCGACCTCAGCTGCCGTGTCAGCGACCTCGCCGGCGGTGTCTGCGATCTCAGAATCGGTCGGTTGCTTCTCAAGCCCCGGAGCGGGAGCAGCAGCACTGTCGCCATCGGCCACAATCTTCTTCACAACATCAACCGTGCCGTCGGGGCTGCCGGCTTCGGCCGCGAGCACCTTGCCAGCTTTGTCAACGACGAAGACGCCACGTGTAGTCCCCTTGGGGCCCTTCTTGAGTCCAATGGCCGATATCAGTGTCTGCGAGGGGTCGCACAGCAGAGGGTAGGGCAGGCTCTGCTTCGTCTTGAACGTCGTGTTGGCCTTGGGGCTGTCATTGGACAGACCGTAGATGCTCAATCCGGTGCTGCTGAGGGATTCGTACGAGTCGCGGAACAAACAGGCTTGCTTGGTACCTGCAATTGGCCGTGTCAGAGGTTGCATTTAGGCCGGGCGCGGGAGACTCACATCCTGGTGTCGAAGCCTTGGGGTAGGTGAACAGCACCACACCGGCCTTGCTCTCAGCAACGAGCTGCTCAAGTGTCGTCTTGGTCCCCTCGTGCGTCTCAATCTCGGCGCCAAAGCCAGCGAGCGTGATGCTGTCGCCCACCTTGGGCGGCCCAGTGGCTGGCGTCTCAGCAGGGGCGGCGGCTTCACCGTTAGTCTTGC